TTCCCGGCATTTCCACATCGCCGGCTTAGAGTTCAAATCCATCTCGCTAGGTACGCGAGATACGCAAAGATGTACTGTAGAAGATTGCCACCATCTCTTCCCAAAGCCCATCGACCCAGGCAAAGAACTCACCAGCGCTCTCTCCGCTTGATAACTCCCCATGGAGCGATGCCGATCGTCACTATTTTTTCGACCGCATTCTGAAATGTAAAATTTCAGAAACATAAGTAAAGGTCCTGGTCTCAAAGGGACCGACCTTGCTGATATACCAGCATCGTCGAGCGCTCGAGCCACGTGTTTCACGACGCCGCAATCCAGACCTCCCGTGATTATCCACGCTCCTGTGGTCTGTGCCGCCTTCAGCAGTCCGTCCCGAAACATGTCGCCCAATTTCTCCTGCACTCTGAAATTACTTGGTATAAAAAGGAATGGACGAAAAATTGCAGAAAATAATGAGATTTCGATGTTTTTTTTTGTCTATATGTTTTTTGTTTTTTGCGTGCCGCAAATAAGGCCATGCTTTCATTTTGCTTTCGAGGCAGCTGAAACGATATGCTAGCAATCAGATCTCTACAAAGCTCTTCGAAAGCTCTGCCATACGCCTCCTCAGAGCTTAGTTGCGAGAGTCCTATACATTTTGCCACATGGTTCGAAGTTCAGTATTAATGAAGGCTCTGCGTCAGTGTACTGAATTTTTGCTATTTCAGACGACCAGTCATGCCAAATACATCGCCATGACATACACTGTGCTATTGTCAACTAAGTCTGACCTCTTTGCAATGTATGTCCTTCACACATATTGATTAACAGTGATTTTTTTGAACTTACTCGAAATTGGTCATGCCTCCATGCACTGTGATGACGAGCCGTGGGGGCCGTAGACCCCAAACCTGAAATGTGTTCGCGATTTCACGAGAACTCATCATCTCTACGTCGGAAGAATGTTAGCGTTCAAGAAGGAAGGTCACTTGCCTTCTCCATGAGGTACATCACATCTTCTGGTTCGGAATCGTAGCCAAGGCGGATGAATTGGGCCTTGTGTGCATGTGCGCCACCCTAAAAAACAGGTATTGGTTTGTGGTAGAAAATCCAAGGTAGAAAAATCATGCCACAGGAGAATACAGAAAAGGGAGTAGTGGAAAGAGAGTTTCGGGGAGGAGGGTGCCGAAACTATTGATGAACTCCGGGGCTTTGCAGATTGGTGATCAAAACCAGCATAAAAGTTGTTCAGAGTTCAAGAATTCTCGCGAGCTCCCCTCAGAACCCTTAACCATCACCCTCATGGGCTGTTTCTGTAGTACTTGATTCTGAGGCTAGTCGACCCGCTATAACTTTGCCCACTTTCCCTCCGACCCAGCGTAGAGCCGAATGGGGAGTAAGTATGGCAAATCCACTATTTTCGCCCCCTTCATACGTGTTTTCGAGAAAATTTTGCCAAAATTCTCAAAACTCGTCGAAAATGACTCACGTCTTCCCTCCACTGCAACAGGACCCCGCCCCACTTCCACCACAACGGCTCCCTCTGCAAATTTCAAATGCGACCCTATTTTTCTCTCCCGCAAACGCACAAAAACCGAAATTCAACCCTCCCCTCACTGAAAATTCCAATGCGACCGTAGATCTTGGTACAAATGACCTTGTTCAGAAAGCTGTCGATGGAGTACACTACTAGGGCCATGTGCAGCAGTACCCGGCCGGGAA